TATAATAGATAGCCAAAGGGAATTTGCTGTGTGGCTCAGGAAACTCAAACTGGGGCCCAGTATCAACCTTGGGGGTAGGGTGGGGAGGGAGATGGAGGGAGGTTCAAACGGGAGGGGATATATGTATACCTATGGCTGATTCATGTTGAGGCTTGACAGAAAACAACAGAATTCTGTAAAGAAATTATCCTTCAATTAAAAAATAAATAAATTTAAAAAAAGAAAAAGAAACACTACTTTCAGTGAACCAGATGTTGCTATGGGTAAAAGCAATACAGTGTGATGGTGAAAGAGTTGGTGTTGCCTGGAGTCAGGCTGCTTGGTTTGAATTTTGTCTCCTGTTGTTTATGAGCTGAAGGGTCTTGAACAAATTCCTCAATCTTTCTGCCTTAGTCTCATCTGTAAAATAGAAATAAAAATGTACTCACCTCAGAGGGTTATTTAGGGGAATAAATAAGCAATTATATTTTAAACTACCTAAAGAGTTAAAAATGTTAAGTATATAAATGCTACCCGTTGTTGTTGCTACTGTTATTATTATTAGGCACATTCTGATTTAGATTTAAAAACCAATATCCACTATTTTCATGTTCCTTTCCACCTATAGTTCTGAATCAAAACAGAACCACCAACAAGATACTGTCTTTTAGTGAATTCATTCATCTAATCACTCAGCCATCCACACCACTCACTGTTCAAATGGTATGTAAATTTTTACATGTTTTGGAATCATTTTTGGTTTAAGAAAACTCAAATTATCAGGCCAGTTAATGAAAAATTATAGTTTACTATTAATTAGACTTTAAAAGCTTTCTAAAGTTTTACTTTCTTCTACCTCTGCATATATCGAAAGAAACACAAGGACATTTTCCTTTCTGAATTTTCAAACTAATCCTCTGATAAGAATGGATTAGTCCAGAAGACAATGACTTTTTTAAAAAGTCTATGATAAAAGATATTTAAATAAAGAGGATCACTACATTCAATATAAGTTCCTCCTTTCTCTATTTTGTCTCTAATAGGATACAATATGAATAAATGAATCAATGAAAAAGCATGGCAGTTGGTTAATTGTCAGCCAAGGAGAAATGCTAGGGGATTTCTCTGGTGGTCCAGTGGCTAAGACCCCATACTCTCAGCACAGGGGGCCCCGGGTTCAGTCCCTGGTCAGAGACCTAGATCTCAATGCCACAAGAATTGCATGCCACAACTAAAGACACCAGTGCCACAACTAAGATCTGGCCCAGCCAAATAAATAAATACTTTTCTTAAAAAACGAGAAAAGCTAAACAGTCACAGTCCCACAGAGACTACAAGGAAATATGGAGCCTAGAATTTAGATTGGAAATGTGTGTTTTGTTTGTACTTTATAAGATACTATTTAATCTATATTTAAATAATTATCATGAAAGACATAAATTCTTCATTCAAGTGGAACTTGCTAAAGTATGATTCATATTTGGCTAAATTTAGAATAAAATCTTTTTTTTTCTCAAAAGTTACCATGACACAACAGAATTCACATTCCAGGACTCATATTTTGTATATTAAATTTAACAGCTTTATCTCGAACACTTTCCTATATTTTTCAACACCTTTATTGTTAAAAAAAAAAGCAACCTATGGCTGATTCATGTTCCTGTTTGATAGAAAAAGATAAAATTCTGGAAAGCAATCATCCTTCAATTAAAAAATAAATAAATTTTTAAAAATACATTATTTTAAAAAAAGCAATCTAATACCACTCCATGGAAGCGGTTCTTGCTAAGGATTACCTAACAAAAAATTATAAACATTTTGTTATATAAAAGCTAATTTACTGAAGTAGGTATGCTCTGTTGTTAGTTTGAAAATCATTAATTTCATAATAAAGAAGTGCCAGGTGCAGTCCCAAAGAAGCAAGTGATGGGAGAAGAATTATGAAGTTTCATCTGTTCTTGTCTAAGGCTAAATGCTAGCTTTTGGGTCTGGTCCAGGGCTCGATCTGGCTATGGTGTGTAGTAGGTTTACACCTGATATCAGTTTAGGGCCTGTGTATGCAGTTTAGGATGTGTGGATGATGATGCCAGTCCAGGGTTTCCTAATTCTCCTAAGAGGACCCCTTTTAATGCCACACAGCCCCCATCTGACAGAGGTAATATGTTTGTTATGTATCAATTAAAATACATGTACCAGCAAGCCACCTTGGATTCATTATTTATTTAAAATGAATACACTTTAACAATCACAATCCTCAATACATTTAAAAAACACTATTAGATAGATACCAGACTATAAATATTATTTATATTTACTAAGTTTTTGAGAAAGAATCCCCAAACCGCTCGGGTTAGGAATTGCTGACCTGGTTGATGTCTTGACGTTACTACCAGTCAGAAAATTCTATACGACTTGATTGTTTCCTTGCCAAACTGTCCTGCCTGAAATGTGTTGGGGGCCTTTAAGAGGAATTATGATTGTGCTTGATACTATGTTTATACATTTAAATAAAAGATTAATGAAAATGGTTCCCAATTATCAAAAAAAAAAAACAAGACTGTTCTGCGGAGGCAGCGGCTGGTCTTCCCTGATGTGTCATGACAGAGTCATTCTTGAAAGCTAATGGCTAGAAAATTGAGTAAACATAAAACCAATAAAGAGAAGATTTCTTCACACCACGTGAAATCAGCTTGTTAGAGGAGCACATTGCTGTGGAAAATTTTGGGAGAAGCACAGGGATTTTTTCATGATGATGGTATCCCCTGCTTGCAGGCATCAGCTACAAAATGAAAAAAATTCCTCCCCAGATATCAATACCAAAGAGCTGACTGTTGTCACGTGACCCCATTTTTTCCAATCTGTTCCCACCCCATCCTTCTTTTGCGTACACATGACACTGTATTTACTGAAATATGACATAAATTAGGACTAAGACAGTCTTCTTCCTGTCACTGTTTGTAAGTACTTGACAGCGGCCGCTGTGCAAAATAATGACATACTTCCAGCTGAGCCCTCATTCTTTTCCACTGAATTCTGCTTCAGCTTTTCAGACACTTGAGGGCTATTTCTTTTCCAGATCCAGTTTGTAAAACAAAAACCATCATGAACCAGCTGTCCCTTTTCCCAATTCTAATTTACCAAATTTGTGATCTCTAGCAATGTTCCATAAAGCTAACCCACCTCCAGGATTATCTTTCTTGGCTCCATTTATTCTTTTAGAAAAGAGCAATTGACAAGTTACTTACTGCTTGTTTCCTTCCTGGGTTCAGAAGTTAAACCCAGGAACCCCTGAGGCAAAGGTAATCCTACTTGTACCCTACCATACATTCATTCACTTAGCTCCTGAACACTGACCATCATCCTAACATGCATCTGCATATCGTAACAGGCATTTTTAATGCGTGCCAACCCCGTACTAGGCGCTATGGGAAGCACTTTCACTATATTCCTATGAGTTAGATATTATTAGTATCCCTACTTTACATACGAGGAAACTGAAAGTGGTTAAAAAACTTGTCCAAGGATTCACATGCAAACAATCTAAATCCAGAACCCAAGATCTTAACCACTGAGGGAAACAGGAAACATTTGCTTCCAACATGAGTAAATGACATCATTGATATGAAGGAAAATGAGTAGGAAAGAAGGACGGGAGGGAGGAAGAAAGAATGAAAAGAAAGGAAGAAAGAAAAAAAGAAAAAGGAAGAAAGAAAAAAGGAAAGGAATAACATGAAGATAAAAGAAAGGTGAGGAGTTATCAACATGTTAGATTTCACTTTCTATTCAAGTATGCTGACAATATGTCAGGGAAGTTCGGGCTTCCCTGGTAGCTCAGCTGGTAAAGAATCCTCCTGCAATGCAGGAGACCTGGGTTTGATCCCTGGGTTGGGAAGATCCCCTGGTGGAGGACATGGCAACTCACTCCAGTATTCTGGCCTGGAGAATCCCCATGGATTCTAGCCTGGTGGGCTATAGTCTATGGGGTCACAAAGAGTCGGACACAACTGAACAACTAAACACGTCACAGCATATGCTGTCAGTACTGCTATATTAATTCACTGTTTTTAGGACCTACAGGATAAATTCAACAACAAGAAAGGCAATTCATTCATTCATGCAGACCCAAAGACAGGACTGACAAACAAGAAAAGTTAATTCAAAGTAGTTTCATCAGGTGCAAAGTAACCATCTACCATTCTATATCTAGCCTAGCGGAAAGATAAACAACACTAGCTGTGACAGATCAGAATGGAGAAAGAGGCCCCGGCAATCCAGGCCTTCATGAAAGTGAACAGGCTTGACCAGCTCCATTTCTCCAAACTGGGACTCCTCTGGCTCAGGGAGGACAGCAGGAATAAGAAAAGGCAGAGGGAGCTGCCCAGCCTGACTGCGGCTAGACAACATGTCTGGTGAACTAGCAGGAGTTGAAATGGAGAAGTCTGTTGAGTTCACAAGTGTGTCCGGCCTTCTCCAAAAGGCAATGAGAAGTCACTGAAAGATTTTGTACAGAAGGGTGAGAGCATTAAGGCGAAATTCAGGGACGTTAAATTCACAGCAGTAGGCTGATGGATGGGGGAAGCATCATATAGGGGCTTTTCTTCATGATCACTACATTTGGAAGCCTTAAATGCTCGCTGCAGGCTGGAAGCAGAGGGGCTGCAAAGGAAAGGTAGACACACACACAGACACACCTCTGGACGGTGGCGGGTGTGAATACAAGGAGCCACAGACAAATTTCAAGAACGTCCATAAGTCACTAACACATCACACACTCACGCAGCTTTCCAAAAGCACGAACTGGGAGCTCCAGCCCTGGCCGAGAGACTGACTCAAACTAACGCCCGTCACCCAGAGCAACCCAAACCACCCACCATCCGGTAGGCAGGTGACCCCACAAACCAACCCTTCTGGTCCACGCTCCCCATCGCCTCCCGCAGGAGCCAGGGAGGGAGCTGGAAAAGTTTGGGGAGTAGTCCCCGGCTCAGGAGAAGGGCATTTTCTCATTCCTCGGTCCCTCTCAGGTGTTCAGAGAGGGAGGATGACGTCCGGACCGTCCTCCGGCCCCTCCTCCCCCGGGCCGATTATGAAACTGCGGGCACTGTGTACCTCACCCCGCTCTCTCGTGAGTACTCAGGCCCCTCCCCAGACTAATAAAGGTCGCAGCGCGCGGCCGTGGAGTTCACTTGCCAGACACGGGCCGGGTGTCCCAGGGACGCGTGGGCCCCCGTCGCTCCAGCCGCCGCCGCCCAGCCGGACGCCTCCCGCAGCCGGCCGCAGCCCGCCGCAGCCCCCGTGCCCCGCGCGCCCCCGCACACGCTCACCGGGAGGAGGATGGAGCCGCGCCGCGCCCGCCGGGTCCCCACGCTGCTGCTCGTTCTGGGTGAGTCCCCCGCCCCCTGCCCGACGCAGAGGACGAGACTCGGGCGGCCCGGGGGGGCACTTGTCACTTTCCACTCGACTCCAGCGTCCTCCACTTCCAACCACGTCTCTCCTTAGGTGGCGAGTCCGGTCCTTCCCTCCCGCCGCGGATGGAATGGGATGGGTTAGGGGAGCGGGCAGCGGTGTTCAATATGCCTTTCGTTGATCAAGGAACTTGGGCTGTGTGTTCTGCGTGAATTAATACAGCTCCGTATTGTGAGAAATAAAAAGTTGGAAATACTTTTTCCCCCCCTTAGGAAAATGTGACAGTTCTAAGAAATCCAAAGACAAGGAAAAACTGGGCTGAGGGCGGGGACAGGAGGCGGGAGTAGAGACTAGACCCGCGCCTATAAAAGACTTTTGGGAAAGAAAAGCGGTTTCCTCCCGCCTGGCCTTTAGTTTTCTAAATTGAGCGGGCTTCAGCTTCCTGGGGCGCTGGCGTGCGCCGGCGCCGGCTTCGCTGCAGCTCCGGACTCCACGGGTGGAAACGCTGCTCGCTCACCTGGAGCTGCAGGGACACGCGGGCCCTGCCGCTTCCGGTCCCCCGCCCGCCTCCCCCGCGGGCCGCGGGCTCATCACTTGCTGTTAATTACACTCTGTAGCCTGTAGTGGACACGGTTGAGCGCGCGCACACACACACACGCGCGCGCACACACACACACGCGCGCGCGCGCAGCCTGTAGTGGCTGAGCGTACTTTAATGCCTGCCTTATTCGATATAATTCAGGGTGGTTTTTTTTTTTTTTTTTGACAGAGAGGGAAAAAATCCTTATGTAACTTTACTGGTTTTGAAAAAAAAATCTTGATAATTCCTAAACTTCAAGAAGAGTTTGGAGCTGTTATGAAAATTTTCCTAAGGAAATAAAGGTTGCCAATCTCGTGTTATTTCTGGGATTGCAATGAGGCGAATTCCCCTAACTCTACCTGTGCAGGATGTGACAGTTAAATTATTATTTCGACACACCTTATCTTAGGGGTTAGGAGACCTAATGACATGCATGCTATGCATACTTGTAACTTACTTGTCTAAGTTCAAGAACATAGGTGGGAACAGGATCTGTGGTTTCTACCAAAACTTCTGAGAATAACTTGCTAGGAGTTTCTCAGTAAATAATGTGGCTTTGCTATCTTTGTTATGAAGTCTTCCTAGAGTTACATGTCAACCTAGAGGTCAGAATAGCTTTACACTTTTTTCCCCACCTGTAAGGTTGCTTTGAACAATGCAAGTGTCTGTTCTGGGCCACTCGTTGAGTATTCTAATTTGAGACATCAAGATCCTATGAATATCCTGGTTACTACCCACTTAGCTTATGTGTTGTGTGTGTTTTTGTTGTCATAAAAATGCTTAACTCCTTTATTGCATTACTTAATTATAGTTCACCTATTTCATCAGCTGCCAAGCCCATTTCTAAATGAGCTCGGTCAGTTTCTGTTTTCCCAGTTTGTTTAGGTATTTCTCTGCCACTAGGAAAGTTCCTGTTTGAAGTTCTGTATCATATCTCTACACTCTATTCAGGTATGCAAGTCCAATAGTCTTATTCCAAAGCACATGGAAAAAAGGCAAGGCCAACTGTTCTTTCTGAAATTGCCATTTCCCCCCTAAACTAAAGATTACCTAGAAATACTTTCCCCAAATATCTATCCTTCAAGGAAAAGAGACATTCATTCGAGTTTTCAGCAAACATTTTATTATTGCCTTTTTTTGTGGAATTTATATGTATTTATGTCTGTGGAAAAAAATACAGACACTTTCATGTCCATCTTCTGCCTCCAACACATGCAGATTTAAATTGCTACACACACTCCACAATCATTTGGTCACTTTTATATTTTATAAATTTTTGATATTGACTGTTCCCCAATAAAAAGGAAAAATTTTTATATTGAGTCTGCAATTAATGTTTAGGGTCTCTTGATCTAAAAATCAAACATACTCAAGGATACCTAGATGAGCTTTTGAGCATGCTCCTGACTGACAGATCCAAGACAATTTATCCATACTTCATTGCACAATGATAGAGAGTTGACAGAATAAACATGCTTTCTTGAAATCTGAGAAGCATAGATCTCAGTGAGGCAATGGCTCGCCTTAGAGCTTTCCTTTTGACCCTGAGAGTTTATGAGCTGCCTGGTGTTGGCACAGCCTGAGATGACACATCACGGGCAGAAACACGATGACAGGCCTCTCCGGTCTGGATTTTGACCCAGGCACCCTAGCTGCCTTCCGCATCATCTTGCCGTATAAGCAACTTGGGTAATTGGACTGTGTGGTTCAACCCTGAGACCCAAATCCAGGCTCTGGGGAGGCGGATGCCTCCTGTGAACTAACCATTTTGTGTGAGGGGTGTTTTCCATGTATCCTTTACTCCTTAAAATAACTATACGAGGTCGAGATGATCAGCCCAGTTTGACAAACGAAGAAACCAAGGCTCAGTGATGTCAGATCCCTTACAAGGACTTAGAGACAGCAAATGTCAAGGTCATTCTGGGTCAATGTGTAAAGAGCCAGAGGTTCTCAGGAACATAATAAAGTAACTAGTTCTAATAGAGAAGTCCTAGAGTAGTGTGGGGGTTGCTGCAGTGTTTAGGATCTGTTATGGGCACTGGCATATGTGCAAAAATGGTACCATATCACTTAAAAAACCAGGCACAGAAAAGATGAGATTATTCCTTTAAGCTCTGCTCAGATATGTTATATTTTTACTTAACCTATATTCAGCATTTTTAATACCTAGGAAATGACTTTATATGAAGCAATCATTGACGTCAGTTGACTGAGACCTTTGTTTCTATTTTTATAGTTTCCTAGACGTATATTAAGTAAAGCAGTCAAGGAGAAGGAAACCCACATATTTTTTATTCCCTGGATCATTCACAATATTGTGAATTGAATGTAGTGTTGACAAGGGATCAAGGTGGAATCTGCAGCATACTTTATTAACAGTGAGAAAATAGAGCTACTTATGTGGTTTTTAAAAAAAAGTGCAGTGGTCCCATAGTCACTTTGGAAAACTTGAATTTGAATGTCTTCTGTTCATTTTTGCCCAGGAATCTCCCATGTCCTGGTGAATGATCACCCAGGAGATGCAAGAGAAAAAGAGACTATACATTTAGGTGTGGTCTTCTCATCTGTCAGTCTCCACTCTGAATATAGGCCTATGCAAATTCCCATGGCTGTAACTGCTGTTGGAAACATTCCTTCAGAAGACAATGAGAAGACTCCCCAAAGCTGTAATAGGCCAGCTCCCCAGGGAGGAGCACCCTGACAGCCTTGGCCTTGGTATGGCGATTCTGGAACCTTTGGAAAATGAAGTAATACAACAGACTCAGTGTCCTCTGGCAATGCAGTTTATGTTAAGGCTGGATGTCTGGTTTCAGGGCAAATAAAGTTTCAGTGACATTCTAGGTTAAAGCATTAATTAACTAGGATGCTGTTAATAATACCCAAGACAGCTTGATAATTGTCCAGAAAAAAAGTTAGCTCAATTACTTAGGTCAAAAAGCCTGAATTTTAAACTTGAGGCATGAAAGTGAGTGAAATACAAATCTGTTTGAAAATCCTCAGGATAAGGGGAAAAGCCTCTCTTTCTCATATGTATGTATAAGTGCATATATGTATATGTTTATATACACACATATGTGTGTCATACTTTACAGTTTTGCATCAAGACCTAGTATATCGAATATAGTTTGAACATCCCGCTTCTTTTATTTCATACTTTTGGAAAAATTTATTCCTCCTTGAGCTTCAGTTTTCTCATATGTAAAATGGAGATTGTAATAATTATGCTGTTAGGTTATTGTATATGGATATTATAAATATAATATTAAAAATAATGAGAAACAGTTTTAAAGTTAGCGATGTTATCAGTAGTAGCAAGTGTTGCTTTTAGAAAAATGCCTCATTTGATCTTTGTAACTCCCTTTTATCCAGGAAAGGCATTATTTTTCCCAGTTTATAAATGATAAGACATGTTAAAAGAAGTGAGTTACACAGCATGGAAGGCTCCTTTTTAAATTATGTTGTGCCATCTATTGTAGATGCTCCCAACTCACTTCACTTTTGGTGAAAAGTTCTACTCATCCTTTAAGATTGAAGAAAAGTATCAGGCCTTCTCTGGTACCTCCCTCCATCTTTCTCTCATCACTGGAAAATAAGTGTGCAGTCTGCCCGCCGCCCCCACGCCTTTGCTTCTCTCTGAATCTTCCTGTCTTACTCTTCACATCACACTGTAAGTGAGTATCTGGACCTGTCTTTCCTTACTGATGCTCAGCTTTTATCATTCACATTGTAACAGACTTATGTTAACCAGTCAATGAATATCATTGGAGGGATATGGTACTCTATTTAGGGATCTTAGCACTCTGTTTTGACTCAGACAGCTGTTCTTTGAAAATGTGCTTGCAAAGTCAAATATTTTGGCTGAACAATAGTTTTTGAAAATTCAATTCTGTTTAATAATAAAGCTGAACACTTTTTCTTTCCTGTTTTCCCCATTTCTATCTCAATGTAGTCTGTATTCAATGACAGTATGCCTAACAAAATTTAAGTGTATCACACTGTGTGTGTGTGGATGGATGTGTATGTATGTGTATGTGTGTGTGTGAGAGAGAGAGAGGTAGGGAGATTGGGCAATGATATGACTGAATGATGGATAATCAGCAAGAAAAAGTATTATTTTAGAAATGAGAGTAATCTTGATCTAATCTGAATTTTTTTTTTTTTAATCTGAATTTTCTCTCTCCTACTCCACCCTGCTCCCCGGTGATGTTTTCAGAGATAAGGAAACCTAGCTGCAGAGAGATAAACAGTATCTGAGCTAGAACTAGCTCCATACCTCACGGATCTGCCGGGACGGTTTTCCAGCCTTGGCTCTGTTTACACTATGGACTGGGTAGTTTTTTGTTGTGGACTGTTCTATGCATTGCAGGGCATTTAGCAGCAATCCTGGTCTGTAGCCA